AACATCACCGTAAACACAAACACAAGATTGATGGTAATATACATGTAATGAAAAAATGTCAAAAATCCTTATTAATGGCAAAAATGACTTAACATTTATGGGTCTGCTTGCTCGAGTGGGCAGCCATGTTGTAAATTTCTCTTAGCCCTTCGTTTGAAGTGAGGTCCCGAAAAATCTTCGTTTCGAGGGCTATCTAGCCCTTCCCCTTACCCCAACCCCTCCAATCAAAAGAGAATTGAGACACCCCTACCCCTACACGTGAACGCGCCAAACGGAGGGGTAGGGGAAAGTGTAGGGGTAAGGGGTAGAATTGGGATTGGGCCTAAAACAAGTGAAAATCAAGTAAAACTGTAATAAACAGAAACAATAAGAAAAAATTTAGAGTATCTCCTTAAATATATTAAATCACTAATTCACACATACAAATAACGTCAACTTTAACTTAATACCATCTAAACACAGAAATACAAAGAAATAGCCTACTCACTTACTGAGGCAAACCGAAATATCTATTTTACAAATATCACCATCCGCCGATATCATAACCACAGCAAATACACAAATCAATGAAAATAATTAAAGAAGAAAAACATATACTGTACACTCACAGACGTTGCTGTCGTAGGCATAGGAAAAAACACCAAACAATCGACCCGAAACCCAGGCAATTCAGTGCGGCATATCTCTCCCACTCGTCGCATTCGCAGAGCTTCCTGGGATAACGTGACCAAAATTAGCATATATAAACGATCACGTATCAAGTAAAGGAGACAACAAGCAAATGCTTACTACAACAACCGGCCACAAGGTGGAGCACCATGACCACTTACAACAAATAATCTAATAGCAATGAACCAAAAAAACAATCAACACTACATTATATATTTTTCCTTTTTTTTTTTTTCAAAGCCCAGTAATCAAAATAGGAATTAAATGACTGACGACATAACACGTCCTCTGAGCAAATACCTCTTGCTTGACCTAATGACAATGATAAATCTACCCACTGCCTGATCAGAGATCAGTGCTGCAATGTAAAGAAAAACATCATTATTATGGTTGGATTGCAGCTGGTCTCAAGGGTAGCAATCTGTCGCTTAGGATGAATGCTAAGCAGCTTATTTTCCCAAAGAATGTGTGGGCTGGCTTTCAGTCTGACAGGATGGATTGGGATTTCTGATTATCCAAAAGTGGGCGGGTTGTTAAAATATGCATTTAACAGTTGCTTGCTGACATACCTAAAAGGGAACTGAAACATGCACAGGACTGCACATGCCTGGACCATGAAGAAAGAAAGCTTGGAATCCTTTTGTGACACAGAATGTAATTCTTATTTAATAACTCCATATACAAAAGAAAAAAAAATCTGTGATTGTCATCTGTCCTGTTTGGATGTCCTCACAGATGTGGGGTTCGTAGTTTTAATTGTTTAGTGAATGTTGATGATGTCCAAAAGGAAAAAGTTGGGTGAAATGGGATATTTTACTAATATGAGCCTGTGGAGTATCTCTGCCAGTCCGTGAGGAAACCAACAAGGGGTGACTTCAGCCATCTATGATCTATACCAGTCCTGTATGGATGCCCTCACAGACGTGGGGTTTGTAGTTCTCATTGTTCAGTCAGTGTTCATTACATCCAGAAGGCCCCAGATACAAAATCAGTCCTGTATGGATGCCCTCACAGACGTGGGGTTTGTAGTTCTCATTGTTCAGTCAGTGTTCATTACATCCAGGAGGCCCCAGATTCAAAATCTGGGGTTGTGATAAGTGGGTTTACATCCACTCCCCTGTATGCTTAGTAAACAGAGACCATTTGCTGTGACATGTAAAAGTTTATTGTTGCATTTTGACACTGAGGACACCTGGTCTAAACATTTGTTCAGGGCTGCGATTCCTAAAGTGGTTGAAAGACTAAGAAAACAGAATCAACAATAACAATACAGCTGGATGAACAGACATTCGGGAGTTTTTTCATGGTCCTAAAACAGTTTTAATAAAAAAAAAATAGATCTAACAATTGTTTTATTTTAAAGTGATTATTTTGTTATCCAGCATTTTGAAAGCTGTCATCATGTACCATAGTGCATCTGAACACCTTCAACAGGAGACAAAGAACAATCCGGAAACAAACAAAAAGCACTTCACGTATGTTAAGGTTAGTGTTTATTTCTGGTCATGGGACATCACCTTGATTGTGGATGTGACTGAAAAAAGGGGACATCACAGTTGAATGGTCAGAGCCAACCTCAAGCTGACAGCACATCTCTGGGATGAACTGGAGCATGGAATTAGGTCTAGACCAGGAATCCCTCTTCAGTAGCAGAGTTTACTAACATTTTAATGGAGAGTGGACCACAACACAACCAAGAGCTTTACCAAAAAACTGAAGGGTCCAAGGCAGGCCTGAATGCTGTTCATTCTAATTTATGAGTCATGTAATATTTCCCTCACAAGACACAGGACTACAGGAGTTGGACTTGAAATCTAATACTGTTAACCTTGAATTTTTATGTCTTTTAATGTCCTAAAACAAGTATTACTAACATGCAAAACACTCACACTCTAAATAGCTGAAACATAGTGTTTAATTAACATGCGATTTTCTAATCTTTCAGTTGGGCCTGCCAACCTTCTGAACCCCCCCCCCCCAAAAAAAGAAAAAAATACATAAAAATTGTAATAACAAAAAGACAAGAAGAAAACGAACACTGCAAAGAAAAATCCCTTCTCTGTAAGATGTCAGCTAATTACTGAACTGACCTCATGGCTCTTATTACCACGTAAGTGGGCCTTTAATTGCTGTCCAGGGACAATGTTCATTAGTGTAGATCAAACCATAAGGCACATGACTGGTTATGGAACCATACACATGATAATTAACACCTTGGTGGAATGTCCTGGTGTCCCAGGTTACACTGTGGTTACGTTTCCAATCACAGTTTTCCAAGTTGCATAACAGGTGTGCTTCAAGAATGTATGCTTGTCAGGGGACCAGTGAACACCAGGCCCTCACAGGGTTTACACTGCCATCTACATGCACCAGCTCTCTAAAGCTCAGTGTTCCCATCCAGCTGAAAGACAGGTGTCATATGCAATTAGAAGCAATGCCATTTATTCCTTATGATGTAAAATATGTGCTGCAGCTCATTCTCTGTGAAAAAGAGGTCAGATAGCGGCTTTGTAGTAACACCACAAAATAAACCTGAGCGAACAGCTAGAATAATATTGATGTCCAGGTGTAAGAAAGCCAGCAATAAGCCACTACCATCAGCTGGACTGAATGAACAGCATTTTGGTCCTTTGTTCGATTCAAAACTGAACAATAAATATACTCTTGTGTATTGGCACCAGAAGGCTGTTTCTATGTAGCATTATGAATGAAAAATGCCACCCTGTGTTTATACATTGGTGGATGATGTTAAATTCACCTTGTGCTTAGGAGACATGACCCCCCCCCCCTCGCGACCCCAGCTAATGCCAGGAAGCTTAATGATCCTGGTACAAGGATTTACAGTTATCTTTCAGATGGGCTTCTACTTTCAGCTCCATGTAATGTCTCAGCAGTTTATCACATTTCAATTGCAAGCAGACATATCTCCCATCTCATCAAATCTTTTTTATTGATTAATGTGCTCTCTTCAAGAATGATTTACAATTACTGATTGCTTAATACTAGTACCCTGAATAAGTAGGTAACCATTATAAATCAGTGCAATGATCATTAATTAGTAGAGTAGTATACTTGTGTTTATTTTGACAAGCACACATATAAACAAACAAATAAAAAACAATAAACAGTAACAGACAGACACAGTGGAGCAGATGGGTGAATACTGCACACAGTGAGTGTACTGGCAGACGCAATGTCAAAATACATTGTTTATGCTGGAAGGAAATTCATTTCACACCATAAAATGAAAATGATATAGTAAAAGGCCATATGTGACCCTCCAACCAGAAGCTTTCCCGAGCTGCAAAAGAATGCAATATTGAGTCTTAAAAACAGTTCAGAGAAAGGGAAACTGCAGAATAAAACACGGTCAAGCTGCTTTCAGAGTCTGTGACCCGATTTAACCCTCGAATGAGAACAAGAGCTACTAAGGAAAAAGCCCTCTGTAACTGATTGTAGGCTGGGTGCTTTGGTCCTGGCACAACTAAGTAATCAAATGACTGATGGATACCACTAAGTTGTTTAGCAATTTGAATTGCTGCTGAAAGAGTACTAATTCATTTAAATGCAACACATTTCATGTTATCATGAACAAACTTGTGACATTTATTAAGATATCTTTAGGTTGTACCTGTTAAATGCAGCATTTAGACCATTATCCCATGACAACCTCAGAACAGTACCGTGGCTGAACACTGCTGGATCAGGCCGTATGGAAGATATGCACACCCAACAGTGTTTAATGCTCCGTGGATCTCATGCCTTGGCCACATCCTGTGGAGTCCATCATAACCTCAGTTACAAGTCACCATATCACACCCTGTGACTGCAGTCAAAAGTCAAAAATCACCATGTCCAGTCATGTGACATCCTTTCCAGTCCTATGTCTATTCTTGCATGACCTCACAAATTGAAAAATTTAGCACCAAATGTTTGGGGTGCTGTTTCTGTTCTTGGAAGCACTTTGAACAGGGACAACTCCTGCTGAAACTGTGTATGGTAATACTGTCACACCATTAAGGGAAATCTTTACTGTTAAGATATTCAGTGTAATTATGATGTTGTGAAAGAATCTGCCTTTAACCTGGAACAGAAAAATAGGTTGTATAGGTTTATCGCCCAAAAGCCAAAATTAAGAGATCTGTGATGAAGATTCTATGGTGACCATCTCTCATTGTCATTCAAGTGAAAACTGGCTCAAACAGTGCCATAATTTCATTCAGCAGTTCACAGTCTTCCCAGTAGGGAGTGGTCTGAAGTCCAACTAGATCACATGTATGGGGCCAGAAAATAACATTTTGAAAAGTGGCAAAAGCTACGATTTCTAGATTGGACATGATGTGTTCTTGGGTAAACTGGCATACTGACCAGCACTAGATACAAACCTATCACAAGGCAGTACAGGAAAAAAGCATGAGAACTCCCCACTGAAGTGACTGGAAGGAGCAGATTTTCTAGGAAAGATCATGGGGTCATTTCGGCTGTGGTAGACAGGTATTGCAGATTGTCTCTAGGAGAGACCATGTGGTCATTTCAGTTGTGGTAGCTGGGTATTTCAGGCTGATTCTGGGACAGACCATGGAGTCATTTCAGTTGTGGTAAGTGGGTACTGCAGGTTGATTCTAGAAGAGACCATGGGGTTATTTCAGCTGTGGTAACCGGGTACTGCAAAACGATTCTGAGGGAGACCTTGGGGGAATTTCAGTTGTGATAGGCAGGTACTACAGGCTGATTCTGGGAAAGACCATGGGGTCATTTCACTTATGGTAACTCGGTACTGCAGACTGTTTCTGGGACAGCCGCACCAGCTCCTCTCGGATGGCCTTGATAAGAGAGGCAGAGGAGTGGCTGGATGGGGAAGTCTCCTCGGGGGGCACTGCTGGGTATCCTGGTCTGGTGGGGTCCAGGGGGGCTGGTGGTGCAGAGGGCTCCCTCAGTGAGGTTCTTGGCATCTGAAGAACCCAAGAGGAGGTGTACTCTGGGAAGACCGGGACCTTAGGAACACAATATGTATAGTATGTGAGCTGCCAGTTACATACTATGCATACAGCGAGCAAACAGGTCATGGGACTCATTTGGTGCCGTTTCGCATATGGATAACCACAATGATTAAATAACACCAAGAAAATTACAGGGCTGGGTCTGAAGCATTACTACCAGTGACAAACTCACCTGGTTCTGGGAAAAATCTGGTCTTAGATAGTCATCCTCTGGATGATAGTGTCCCCAGCTGGACACTCCCGTTTGGCTGGAGGAGGTTTGGTCTGTCCCAGGGTACGCGCTGATCTGGCTTGACAGGCCTACCTGTGTCAGGTGGTGAAGCTGGGTACCTTTGCAGACAGATACATTTTTCTGTGTGACTTCCCATCAATTCACTGTAGTACCTAACATAAATACACACATTTTGAAAACACTTGCAGCACAGGGTTTCTGTGAGGCAATGGTACCTGTGGTGCCTCCAACAGGCCGGGGTCTGGCAGATGAAGGCAGTTCTTCGGCATATAGACCCCTGCCTGAGTACAGGGCCAGCGGAGGTAGTGGGTCATCATGGACAGTGTCACTTGGGGGCAGGTAGCTGGAGCCCAGGTCCTGCCTAAGAAAACACACACATAGGCATTTTCCACTAACGTGGCGCTAGTGCCGGTATCAAGTTGATGCCTAATTTGGATCTGGTTCCCTGCTTTTCCATGCCCAAAAAGCTGGCTCCAGCCCTTCTCCACAGAATTGGTGGTTTGAAACTAGGAACCTGTGTACGGGGGAGGGTCTACAATGTGCCATGAACTTCAGCAGAGCCACATTTGCTGAAAACATGACTGTGGACATTGATGCTACCAAGGAAAAATTAAATCAATGATCGAATGATAAGACAAATGCTTTATTGGCAATTTGGTTGTCACCAGAAGTTCAACATAAGTTAGAAAATAGCTTAAGAAAAGTTTATGCAAAAATAGTGCTGAAAAAAGTAGTGCTGAAAAGGCAAGCTACATTTGCAGCATGGAGCATGAAGCATGAACAAATTAAAAAAACTAAAAAATGATTGCCAAGACTACAGAAAAAAAAACACTCACAAAGTGGTGAAGGATGGAAAAAAAAGTTTAAAAGTTTCCCACTGTTCTCTATTCATTGTTGGTAGCTGCAAAATTCCACACAGATTTTAAAGTAGGTAACTAATGCTTACTATAAAAGATTGTTTTGACAAATGCTAATTTAAGAACCAGAACTTAAGTTAGCATTAGCCTAAACATTCTTCATCAGTAAACATTAAACTAACTCCTAATGTTACATGCCCGTAGTATGTGTACTCGCCATCTGATATACATATTGTATTTAATCAGTGGAAATATGGGCTAGTTCTCTGGACATGCCACTTCGGCACCACCGGAGAACCAGCTTCCCATCAGCACTGGCAACACCACTGGCATGGTATTAGTGGAAAAGAGGTAGGAGAGCAACACAATGCAAATGGGATGTGAACATGAGTTAATGATAACTGTGGGAGTAAACGGACCCACACGGACACACGTACCTCTGCAGCACACCCTGGACAGTAGGGGGGGACATTCCAGATTCTGCATATCTCTGCAGACACAGGTAGAGCAAAAGTGTGTAAGGGGCTGGGAGGATAGAAAGGAAGTGAAACAGACTGCATGAAGCCAGGTGAATGTCACACACTCAGTCACACACAAACATACACATACTTTGGGCATTGGCGTTTTATGATTTTTTTAGGATGGGGAGCATAAGAAGGGGCAAAATTCATACAGAATGACCAACCTTGTTATTAACCAATGACGTGTTTTAAAACAGTAAGTTTTAAATCAATTAGCGCATGACATTTTTGAAATCAATGAGTAACGGGGCATGGGGGGGGGTGCCCTGTGGTCCCCACCCCTGTATATTCCCGTTGACCATGAGGCAGCTGTCTGTCTCTTTCTCTCTCGCTCACACACACACACACACATACACACACACACACACACATAATATGAGCACAGACTATTGTTATTAATCATCATTGTCTGTCCCAGCAAAAAAGCACTGAAAAGAAACTATGCCATGTTAATACAAACCAATAACTCCAGTGGTTTTGTCATGTTAAGGTTATGTGTTGGTTTAATGGCATGTGGTCATTCAGGTAACACTTAGGTCCTGGGAGATGGCGCCCATGTTCAAAGCAGACAATGGCACCCAAGAAAGAACCCAAAGATGGAGCATGAAGTGCCGCTTGTGTCCACACAAAAGGACAACTACCTGCAAGCTCTGGGAAAAGTGGGCCAGAACTAATTAGTTCATCAAGTGAAATCGAGGCAGACAGACGGCTTCTCTGCTAGAGCAAAGAAGCCAGCATGTCCACACTCCACAAAGGCCTGGCAACCCCATGGAAAGGAAAGCTGCAGCTATACAACAGTCACATTTATACACTGGGGATGCTGGGGAGTGCACTACAGCATGCCATCCTGACCATGACTGCTATGCACTCCTGACTTTTGTGTCAAAGCATTTTTATTTTGGGAAACCACATCAATTTTGATATACCTTTCTTTGGAACAGTAGATAGAATGCGCACCCTCTTGGGTCAAAGGTCATGAAGAGAGTACCCACTGAGGAGAGACTGTGAGACAGCACGGGTGTGGCCAAAGCAAAGCTCCTCTCATTTCCTCACTCACCGCAGAGACGGGGCTCAGAGGCAGGGCTGTCGGGTGAGGTGGCGCCCACTGGCCATGGGGGGTCCTGGGTGGGGGGCTGGCATTGGCCACGCTAGCCTCTGAGCTGGGAGACACCAGCGCAAAGGCGTCATCCAGCAGGGAGTGCATCTGCTGCCTGGCCTCCTCGATGGAAGGCTGCGGAGGTACGTAGGGGGGAGGGGCTGTGGCAAACACATCGTCGCTGGGGGAGGGGCTCCGGGGCTCAAGTGCTTGGTCGGGGTCTGACTGTGATGACACAGAACAAGGACATTAAAACATTCCTTATCAGGAGATGCATCTGATGACCTCAGGCACGTTACTCCTCTGTTTCAGTTGGCAGTGTGTTCATTAATGTGCCATTTAACGAACCAGATGTGAAGTAAATGCCAAAATACACAGGGGGCCCAAGCCCCTTAAACTGTTCACTGTAACTAAAATCAGTATTATTGCTCATTTTTCTACCACTTTCTCACTAGTTCATGTTCAGCCCATTATATGGCGTTTAATTAGTGCTAAAACTCGCGCGTGTGGAGCAGAAAACCCATGCTCTCTACGCGCTCGCATTTGCACAGCATTCGCTCACTCGGCGTTAAATTAGTGCCAAAAGTCGAACCATGCGCGTGTGTACGCTCGCGAGCTGAAAACCCATCCTCTCTACGCGCTCGCGTTCGCTGGACCCTATCTATGCGTTCGCGTCTGCACAGCACTCGCTCGCTGGACAGGATGAATTTTGATACTTTGGAGGCGGGGACAGTGGCTAATATCTCCGCTCCTTTGATTGGTTTTTTAAAAATATTGACTAGGATTGGCTATTTGCTTTGGTAGAAGATGAAGATAACTTGTCACTGACCGCTAGTCAGAGCCGGCCCAAGGCATAAGCGAACTAAGCGGCTAGTTAGGACCCCGCGGCCACCAGGGGGCCCCCAAGAGTACATGAAATTACATCGTTTTTTTATTTTTATTTTTTTCATTTATATATGTGTAATATTTCAGTTGATATCATATTGGTAATGAAATCCATTTTTCAATTAAAAAAAACAACGCAATATTATTTTAACTGGCTGCTGAAGGATGCATGCACAGTTGGAGTATGACAGCCATACGATGCCTGAGGTAAGTTAACTTAAATTCATTGAAGAAGCAGCGTCACTGCAGCAAAACAATTAATAATGTCACAAAAAAGGACATATCTTTCTGGTGCAGAGAAAAGAAAACGGAAGAAATCCGAGGAAGAGAAAAAACAGCAAGATAAAGGTAAGTTAAAAAAAAAATGAGTATAAACTAAACAAGGCTAAATTGCAAGCTAATGTTGCTTCTTCCGCTTAAAGCAGGTTTCAGACCGAACGCGGCATGCGCTGCACTTTGCTCTGAAACCTATTATTCTCTATGACTTGCGCGGCACAAGAGCGATTTTGAGCAATTTTGCGCAAGAGCGGCCTTGTGCGCGCACCGCGGTCAAAGTTGAGATTTGTTGAACATTGACCGATGCGCGCCGTGACG